TATTCTTAGTGTGACTTAAAACTGTCCACAGATAAAATAGAGTAAAGGTGCTGATTCACCAACTCAGACATCTGAATATCAAGAAGGACACAATCGATTTTTTTAATAACCATTTTAAGTCGCTCCCCTAAAAGCATATAAAACAAATTTTTTTTATATATAGAAACAATTTTATTTAGATGTGTTACTGATAAAAAAATATACATTATAGGGGTGTCTTCACATTCCTTCTTCAGATGTTAAAAAAATCTGGATAGACGAATCTGATTAAATTCATTTGTAGCCGAAAAAAATGTATATTATGGGTGTTTTTAGTTGACTTCTTTAGTATGTCAAAAACATCTCAATAGGCTAATCTGACTAAATCCATTTGTCGCTGAACAAAAAAATTTCTTACATTATGGATTGTCAGTATCTTACAAGTACGAGTATTATTATAAAATAAATTGAATATTTTGTATGTAAAATACATGTATAATAAAAACATATTTTGATCAAAATTAAGCATAGCTTATTAAAATATTTATAATTTTACTAACTGCTTTTATGATGAGAGGCTTATCTGAGGCCCGATTCATTGTGTTTGTTTATTGTCTTAATGAGTTTCTCATTTTTGTGGTTTAAGTATGACAAGCTTTTAATTATGCGGTTTTATAGTTGTTGCTGTTAACACAGTTTACTAAAATAAAGTTGTTATAATTACAACAAATTGAATTATAAATACGGTATTACGGTGTTACCAAAAACGACTATGGCTGGGTGTTAGTATGTTAGTCTGCATAGAATATTACTCATCACATTTTCTGGTGAAATATTTTTCTTTCATTTTTGGTGTGTTGCACGCTTATTAATTTTTTGCCTTCATTCCAAAAATATTGCAAACAAAAGATGATTCATGTAAAATTTAGAAATATTCATTAATTTGTATCTCACATATTTCTTCAAAGCTTTAGCTATGCTTACGGCTGGAAATAATTTGTTGCAATTTCCCAAACAATCGTTAACAAAAGTGTTGAGTAACGCAAGACTTAACAAAGACAAAGAACCATTAAGTGAGTGCTATTAAGGACTGCGAAATTAAACATGACTGGAATTGTTTTGTTTTTATACGCAGTTTTTTAGCACTGGAATTAGTACTGCAACAAATGTCAGTAAAAACCAATTTTATATTCACAGCTTGATATTCTCTAATAAGAAGTTTTTTTTATGATAATGAGAAAAATAATATCTATTATGTGATGACTGATGTTTTCGAATTTACGGAAAGTTAGCATAATAGCTCCTGGAGCAACCGGTTGACGTCCCGAAGCCACTCGTCATCGACAACGAAGTACCATACTCAATTCCCAGTGGATATAACATATGTTAGTCAAAAGAAAAGAAAATGAGAAAATCTCGTTCTATAAAAGTATCATATAATAATAGTCATATTAAGGACGTGTGCGAGTTAGGTTAACTTGCGTTCTAAATGAGGGAAATTCTAAGTTGTGCCGATAATGTAGTGATGTGTCGATACGTGTTGATAAATGGCTAAATGTGTGCAGTGCAAAAAATCCCAAAAAAATCTCCCATTTGGTTTAGCATCAATTTAGCCTAACTCGCACACGATATAAATTATTAAAAAAAATATTAAAACTCATATAAATATTTGTAGTTAATAGAACATCAATATTGATATATATATAAAAATGAATTAATATGAAATATAATATATTCTTTATATACACTATTATACCTCACATTAGTAACAAATACATGTAAGGTCCACATTAATTTTATCAGTGTCCAAATTGTCTCCACACATGTCCACACTGAAGTAATTTATAAGTGTTCCACATCTTCAAACTTGAAAAGTTTCTCAAATACAATCTTCGGTTGAAAGTTTCGTTTCTGAAATTGAAAATGATTAGATACCATTCTCTTCAGTTTTGGAAACAAAAAAAATTTAATATAGATATACATTTCATATAATTTTATTAGTGTATCAGTAGATTAATTTATTGCGATGGTTGGTCTGATTGACTAATTCACTTACAACCTACAGATCCACTTCTGTACTTCTTTGTAGAAGTCAAAAAAATAATCGCCGTAGAATATTGGTCGTTTCTAGTTAAAGATGAACAGTCATTGTGTTGTCTTTTTGCTCGCCCCTATTACTTAAAGTTATAGTAAGTGTGTTCTTGTGATAATTCTGATTCATCATCTGACCTTGGGATAAGAACTCATAATAGATAATAATAAATCCATTTAAATCAAAGAACACGATTATAATTTTCTCATGCTACAGCACTTATAATTTATTCAGTCATGACAAAGGATGATGGGCTAAGTAGGTTTTAAATTTAATTTCACAACCATAAATATATGTACGTTTCATCACCCGTTATGAAACGCTCTAATCGTTTTGCGTCTTTGTTAATTTTAATTAGTAACTACTTGTCAAGAATTGTCACCAATTTTGTTAAAACCTTAACAGTTAGTAAACTGTTTTTCGGCGATCACACCATTAATTCTCTAAACATTCAAAAAAATTCATAACATTTCTCAATTGATAAATGATTAGTATGGTATCTTAGATAGTAATTCAATGGAATTTCGTAATTATTTTCTTTTAATTTTTACCCCCGTTAATTTGTCCTGTTGTCCAGAGTATTCAAAACTCTCTTCAAAAAAAACTCTTCTGTTACTTGTAGCTGATTAACTGAGAACAATATTCATTTGATATCATTGCATTTATTCCATTCTTATAGTAGGATTTTTAACAAATTTTTTGATTAATTTTTTCTGCAGAATTGAAAAGACGAAGCTCGTACTAAAATACGTTCCCTTTTCAGCATCATGTAATTAATAGGAAAATTATATTCAAGATCCAAATTCAAAATACAAATATATGTATAGATTCTCTTGAGACTTACTTATCAAATTTACAAGAAATGACTTAAATGGTATGAATAGAGATCGTGAAAATTTAAATTTCCGTTACTTTTTAAGCATACCTAGTATATTTCATATGTTTAGGATCTATATAAATTTTTACATTTTAGACAAATTACAGAGAAATCAGCACCGATTTGATTCATCTCGTAAAGTTGATGAAAAGTCTTTAGTATCCTTCTTTGTATAGCACGGAATGGCAAAGTAGAAATTTCCTTTTCACATTATCGTAAAGACATATTAAAATAATTTTTACCTTAAATTATTAAACTAGAAAATTATGCAAGTTTAATATTATCAGAGCCGTATTAACATTATCCTCAATATGTCAACCTCACATACTGTGCTTGGTACATAAGAGTTTATGCCATTTTATGTTATTGGTAAACTGAGGCAAAAGTAGGTCAACGAGCCCAAAGACAAGTTTTTTGAAGTCAAACGGTTTTATTTTTACTTTTGCGTTTTATCCACGTGTTTATTTTTGCTATTATCTTCGTCATTGCAATTGAGCTTTGAAATTCTAAACATAAGCACGACATAATCACTCATGGATTCATCACTCTACATGTTTTACCATAAATCATCACTTACATTACCCACAACACTATTTTATATCCCTTCCATTTTGTCCACCCTTTTGTCTGGTGCTCGAGTTTCTGTTGCATTATTGTGGCTATAATTACCAACTTTATGCAGCAAATTCATTTAAGCGGAATAGTTTTGTGATAGACGTAAGATTGTGTATGTGATTGTGATTGTGTGAGTTTGAGAATTACGACGATTGGTCAAATACGTATCAGTATTTGCATAAAATTAGGGTTCCGCTTCAACAAGGGTTCCGTTTTAACATCAACATCAACAGCATATCAATACTTGAAACTACAAATGTTGCATATAGAAGGTTATAACTCTTTGGATAAAGATGAGAAAGTGGAAAATCGAGGGCTTCAGTGCAAGTTCTCTATTATATTCAATTCAACGTATACATATTTAAATGGATATAAATTTTTTATATGAAATTGGATTTCTAAATGATATAGTCATTATATAATAAAATAGTCCCCCCTAACAACTGAAACGTATTATCCGTTATAATTCGTCAAATAAATTCTTTTACTGAACCATACTTTATAAGTACCAAAATCGATATAAATACTATGAACTATTGAATGGTATTACATTGGAGGATGCAAATCGAGTATTAGATGCTTAAAGTCTATGGATATAAATAGAAACTGTAAATATTTGATCAATACTGCAGTGGATGTAATGCCAGTCAACATTTATTAAAAAATATTTACATTCATGTTGAGGTTTGAGGCTTGGCCTTTAGATTATAAAATTGCAAGAAATTTGTAAATTATCATCAAAATACTATATATATATATTAAAGTTACCTCTTATATATAGGCTCTTTTGTTATGGTTTGAAGATTATATAATCAGGCTTAATTCTATTGTAATAGTAGTAAAACAAGTAGCTGATGTGATAGTGGTGTCACTATGCTCTTTCCTATTCATGCTTCTGTTCATGTTTTTTTCGTATGTGGAGGCTCTCTTAAGTTAATTTTTTATTATAGGTTAAAGATTAACTTTAGAGACCCTCCACATATCAAGAAACATAAACAGAATCATTAATAGAAAAGAAGATAGTGAGAAAATTACCACAAGCTACTTATTTTACTACTATTATAATAGACATAATCCTAATTATATAATCTTTATTGTATTTGTTTATATTGTATATTTGTGATTTATCATTTAAAACTTAAATTGTAAACAGAATCCAGTATAAATAACCGTCTTACCTGTTTTCCAAGAGCAGTTCTAATAATGCGACGCCCTAAGGAAGAATTCAAATAAATTTCGAAACTTCGGCGATATTTATGTATATGACTACATAGAAATAACACCTAATATACAAGAATTTTTTTTATTTTCACATAAGCTTTTTTTAAAAATAGATATATATAAAAAGTGAACTCATAAATTCTCTAAATTAAATTTATAGTGTTCTGATACTTATTTGACTGTTTTTTGCCATTTGCCATTTGCCATTTTTTTTAGAGAACCTACTTCAAAATTATATAAACGGTGATGCCTGTGACAGAAGTACGACACCATCTCGTAATATAGAACGCGATGACCCAGGTGACGGACTAGGACCACTACCACCGAAGTGGGAAACAGCTTATACAGAGCGTGGAGAATTATACTTCATCGAGTGAGTACTAAAAATCGACCATTGATATTTATAAATTTTCTCGATTTTTTTTTGTTCAGATCCAATGTTTTTAACAAAACCGTTATATGATTTCAATAAATTAATTAAATTTTGTCTTCACATTTCTTTTGTATTAATAAAAATAAAAATTTTGTATTGTAGTCATAACACCGGTACATCTCATTGGCTAGATCCGAGACTTTCAAAGTTTCAAAAGAAGTCGCTTGAAGATTGCGGTGATGATGAATTACCTTATGGCTGGGAAAAAATTGAAGATTCTCTATATGGAACTTACTATATTGATCATGTTAATCGTCGTACACAGTATGAAAACCCAGTACTTGAGGCTAAGCGTCGTGCAGCAGAACAAAAACAAAAGCAACAGCAGCACCAACGACCTCAGACGCCTTCTACACAAAGTGTACTTCTTAGTGGGATTGACATTAATAGTACCGTTGGTCAATCTCATGGTATTGGTTTAAATGCAACCAATTCAGTAATGAATCCATTGCCTTCTACAATGGACATAGCACAACGTGGTATGCATCCACCACCACTGCTTTCATATCCACAAAAACATATAAACACAACCAAAGCTTTATTGCCTTACAAGTTTACAAGAAATCCTGTTGAAATGCAAGGGGAACGTATAACTACGACTTTGTTAAAATCAGCACGTGGACTTGGTATAACAATCATCGGTGGCGATGATAATATTGAGGAGTTTTTACAGATCAAATCGATTGTGCCAAACGGTCCAGCATGGTTAGATGGTCAACTTCAAACAGGAGATGTCCTCGTTTACGTAAACGATACCTGTGTACTAGGATTTTCACACAACGAAATGGTATATATTTGTTATGAAAATGTATAGCTCTTTTATTACAAGTATGTTATTTTGTTGTAGGTAAATGTGTTTCAGTCCATTTTGCCAGGCGAAACTGTCACTTTAGAAGTATGTCGTGGTTATCCGTTGCCTTTCGATCCTAATGATCCCAACACAGAGGTTGTAACAACAATTGCAGTTGATGGGATCGTAACAGAACCAGAGAAACAGCGACGCATTTTGATGGATTTAAATATGGATGGTAATTACAACTTTTTAGATTTATCGGGTGAAAATAATGGTGGCAAAATTTCTGTAGACGCTACAACTAATGGAGGTTTTATATTAATGAAAAAATCTGAAGTGCATGTATTCTCTATTGTTAAGGGTGCTATGGGTTTTGGGTTTACCATAGCAGATTCAGCTTACGGACAAAAAGTTAAAAAAATTCTTGACCGTAATAGCTGCACCCACTTAAACGAAGGCGATTTGCTACTTGAGATAAATGAAAACAATGTGCGTAATAAATCACATTTAGCTGTGGTGCAAATCTTAAACGAATGTTCGAAAACCGAGCCAACCACTCTAAAAATACAGCGCGGTGCTACCACAAACTCTTCTATTTCACCAAGTGGTAATGTGGCCAAACTACGTAAAAATTTTTTGGTTAGCAATGGACTTTTTCGTAGTAAAACGCCTACAGCAGATCTTTATAGCACTCAGCAGAAAGAAATTTTGCCTATACGTCCGAAAACGCCGCTAGTCGACACGCGGCGTGCTCGTGTTAAAACTCCCAATAATGAGCTTAACGATGCTGAAGTTGCTGCTGCAACTACCAATGGCGATGCGAATATGGAACGATCTTTGGCGGATAGTAAATCGCAAGTTGATGCAAAATCTACAAATAGTTTGCAAGAAATTGATGCTATAACACGAGAAATACCTTTTATGGACCCTTATCCGAAGTTAGTGACCAGTTTAAGTGAACGTTTGGCCGAAGCAACTTTAATGGGTGATCCTGTGGCGGGTTCGGGTATAAGTACAACAGGAGGTCTAGCTACAAACTCCATGGATCTTGGTTATCATTGTAAGTAATTTTGTTATGTTAATATTATTCCTCATCCCTATTACATATTCTTTAATAATTTTTTTTAGTACCGCCCTCCGTTGCACGTTCAAATTATGAAAATCAGGAATATGTTACAACACGAAGTCATAGCAATAATTATAATCCTATTTATGGCCTAGCATCTATGCCACCTACGATGAGTCCAATTAATCCAGTACACAACATTACTGCAGCCAACCATCATTTATCTCAAGCAAACATAATGCCGCCCACTTATCATCATGAGTCTTGTTATTGTTATGATTGTCAAGATTATCGCGGCAACAAATTTCGATATCCACAACAACAGTCAGCTAATTATTATGGAAATACAATGTCAGCATTATCTACACTAACACCGCTGAGCCACCAACATTCACAATATTCACCTGCAACACTACATTACACCTCGAATCCACTACAAACAGCGCATTTACAAAATGAACGCATGCAAAAACGCGTCAATGAGCTGTTGAATGATCGGCGCCGAGTTGGTTTTTCACCTTTGGATACTCAACTTTCCGCGCACACAAGTGTAGCGGGAGGTGGTGCATATTTATCAACTCAACAGCAACACTCACCAGCTGTGAGCAATGTTTCACAGCATGCGCTTGGCATGACTACTTGGTCTAATAGTGGCAGTAGCGCTAGCAATTATAATACTTTACAGCCAGCTGTGCTTGGTGCAACTGGGTTGTTATCGCTAAGAAATGCAATTGATGTTGGGGACGACACAGAGCAATACGAACTCAATGAGGTGACCTTAGAACGCCAAGCTTTAGGTTTTGGGTTTCGTATTGTAGGTGGGACCGAAGAAGGTTCCCAAGTAACAGTCGGACATATTGTACCCGGAGGTGCAGCAGATAATGATCATCGCATAACAACTGGTGACGAAATTCTTAGCATTGATGGTGTAAATGTGGTAAATAAAATGTAGAAATGTGTGTAAGACATTGTTTTGATAACTTTTATATTTACATTTAAGTTAAATTCGTCACATCACAAAGTGGTATCTCTGATGGGTGAAGCAGCTCTACGTGGGCAAGTTACAATGATTTTACGTAGACGTTTGCGTAATGCACATAATGAGTTATTACAACCTCAACATACCCCACAGTTGTTAAGAACCCCCATACGTTTTCCGTATGATATTATAGTAAATCGCCATGAGCATGAGGGTTTTGGTTTTGTTATAATATCTTCATCAAACCAATTTTATGGCTCAACAATTGGTAATATTATATAGTTGTTGCTTTAGATAATTATCTTTACTATACAGATTTGTTAAGATGTATTGTATTTTAATATTCATTGTTTTTATTCATTAATTTTTTAACAAAGTAAATAAGTCATAACAGAATTTATTATGACCATAGCATTGAGTTAAATAGCTTAACCGTAGACTAATAATCAAATTCATAAACCTTCTATAACTTTTTATGAATTAGGCTGTAAATTTATGTATAATTAATTAAAAAATTGACAGAAAAATTGATACAGAACACTTGATGTAAGCCAACAGACAATCGTTACAAATTTAAATATTATTCCCGTATAAAAAAAACTTGTTCTATATAAAATTTTTGTTTGTGCAGAGCCAAAACTAATTTATTTGTATTTGTTCTGTTTTGTTTTTTCTAGTTTTTTATTCTAATAATTTTTATAATGTTAATGCTAATAATTAAAATAAATGACTTTTTTCACTAGGTAAACTTATACCAGGTAGTCCAGCGGATCGTTGTGGAGAGTTAAAAGTTGGTGATCGTATTATTGCTGTGAATCGAATAGACATTGCTGGTATGTCCCATGGAGATGTTGTTAATTTAATAAAGGAGTCCGGATTACATGTTCGTTTAACCATTGGTTGCCCAAAAGATGTTAATAATGCCACAGGTACAACTCCTAATACGTTACTTATGAACGCAGCACAAGCTTCACCTGGCCAAGTATCACAAACACATCTGGCACATTCACCTATGGGACAAACAAATCAGAAACAGCAAGCAGAGACTGAGACAGCAACATATATGGAACATCCAAATGCCACTGCATGTTCGGTACCATCAACACAGCAGCTACAGCAAAATCAATTGCCCCAATTATGACTTTGAGATTTACGAATACGGCTCTATAAGAGTTTTCACTAGTTTTAATATACATTGTAAATATAATATAATTTATGCTAACTTAATTTTTAGTTTTGTTTTAAGTGTGAAATAAACACGTTGTCAGTTTATTATATACATATTAAATTAAGTAATTCTAGTAAAAAATTTCCCGCCCTAAAGACTGAAACTTTAAACGCAAGGAATCACTTAAAGTCTAAATTTTGAGTGAATTATATAATGCAATTAATTATTATTGTCCACCTTATAAAAATGGCCTTTGTTATATAAATTTAACACTAAATATAGAAATATTTAAATCTGAATTCCAGTAGAAATAAGTTATAAGAGAAATCTATTTAATTGTAAATTATCTGAACTTGTTAAAACAGTACCTTTCTTATAAAAATTAAATATATTTAAATTAAAAAATTTTTTAATTGTTTCGTCGAAAATGAAGTTTGTAGGAACTGCGGAGTTCTTGTCTTTAAATTCTAATGTATACATATACAACACACTAGGCGTCTGCTATCAAAGTTACATAAATAACAGATGTGATTCCTCGGCTCAAGAAATGAAGGGAAAAGAGAAAAGTTAATTTTCAATATTAGCTATTGATATACATATGAACTGTAATAGATTCTTTTTTGGTCCCTATGTGGAATATACTATATGTCCCACATCAAAGCCATATAAATATGAGAGGTTATCCTTCGATCCAAGAAATGAAATGAAAAAAGAATCAATTCAATATTACCGGATTAGCTATTGATAATATAATGTGTCCTACAGTAACGTGGTATAAATCGGAGAGGTTAGTTTTTTGGTCCAAAAAATACCATTTGTGTAGGAGGGATCAATGTGTAATATAAGTTAAGATTCTTTTCAATTTTAATGTCGTTACAGGAGCATAAAAAGTGTGTGACTCCAACGCAAATTTCTGTTCAACACATTTACTTGAATTCAGGATTCGACAAATCGACATACCGAAAATTGTTGTGTTGTACATTTGTAATATATAATATTTCAGCTCAAAGGTAATAGCCAATGGGTGCTTAACATATAGCACGTGGCTTCAATTTCCATATAGGTTTCGTTTATAAACCTAACAAAAATAAAACTTTGAATTACTTGTTAGCGGTTGTTATAAAAATTAATAGTAAACAATGTTATATTCCTTAAACGAATGATTTGTATGTCCAGAATTATTTTAACTTTATTGATTTAGCTTGTCAATATGTATTACTCAATTGTATTTATATTCTAAATGAAAACATAAAATCAAAATAATTTTACATAGAAATTATGTATAATGGAATTATGTTTATATGGGTTTAATCTTAAAATGCAATCCTATGAGTGAGAAAACCAAGCACTTCAAATCTTGTACCAAATAGTAAAAGCAGCGCAGACCTTCTGGATCTTTAGATCGGTTTACATCTACTAATGAACCTGTTTTGGAAGTAGTAAATGAAATGTGCTCATCGCCAATAACAATTTCTAATTCCTGCGTGTAAAAATGAAAGTTATTATGTATATACCCTATTGTTATAATAATATATATAAACCTTACCTGACGTCCGACGCGATCTGGCGGAGGCCACGGTGAATCATCTTCCTGCATTATTTCAGAATCAATTATAATTCGTTTCAATTCCTCCATCACAGACTGATGAACAAATGCTTCCTTTCGAATCATTGTATCATTTTTATAGTTGGAGTTGTTGGCGTAGCGTAGCTTACCATCTGGCCGAAATTCGAACTCAAGAAATTCGTGACCAAATTTTCCTTTATGGCCTACATAATACCGCAAATAGAAATCTTCAGTGGACATATCTATATATTTAATACACAACTAAAGTTCAAAATAAAGTAATTTCTACGAACAATTATTCCAAACTAACCTTACTTGTATGATGACCGCTTTTTCAGGTAAAATGTCAAAATTTAATCCCAATTTTTATAAACAAACGAAAGTATGTTTCAGTGTTGCATGTTAAATTTAAAAATAGTAATTTCACAAATTTTTTTCATATTAAAATAATAATAATAATATATAATAATATATAATATATAACAATAATATAGTAACTTCAAAATGAAGCCGTAATCATAATATATGGGATTTGTTATAATGTAAAACTTCTCCACTCAAACTATAATGATACAATATCTGATAGCTAAGATGCAGGGTTGTATTTGGATTTCGTAATGATCATAATTAATGGGAAGATTCTGCAGACTTGATTGATTGATTTTATCATGCTTAATATATTTGTAAAAAATGAAGTTAAAAATAACAAAAACATATGTTAGTTATAAAAAATGAATAGATCAGGAAGAAGACGCTAATAATAGGATGTTTTTTAATCATCAAAAGTACACAACATTTTATAGCACGTCATATATCATTAAATAATAATTTTTTTCAGGATATATAATTTCATTTTTCTGAATGTAAATATTTTGTGTTTCTACATCGAAGCAATTTTAACATTTGATTAATAAATCTTTGTACCTTTTGTCTCCAAAGCAAAAACACAAAAGGTTTTTACCCATATAATTTTTTCTAAATAAAAATATTTTGTTTCTTTCTTTTAAAGGTGATTACATGAAATAAATTTGTTTTCTAACAAATTTCTAAATTTCATACATTTAAAAATTAGTTGAAGAGTAAACTAATAAATAATAAATATGAATACGAAATAAAACCAATTGAATAGGAATTGTAATGTAATTTTTAACTTTAAAATTGTATACTTAAATTTATTATTGTCAATTGTGCTATTTTTTCGAATTACTTGGTACTAATACTAATATATGTTTATGTATTTATCAGCTGCAAAAATACTTCTTCAATTCATTATTGCTAAGATTATAAATGAGCATTTAAATTAACTATTGTTGTTTATTTTGTGTTAAATGAAAATCGAAAAATAGATGAGTACGTAACAGTTTTGAACGCACAATTCCATATATTTCACATATTAAAAAAATAAAAAATAATACGCAGAACTGCAGCGCTGCAAAATTTCCTTACTGGTGAAGATTTTTTTATTAAAAATTTCCTAAACACTGCAACAATGTTTCACACTATTTTCCTCTCTTGCTCTAAGGTGAATGATATTAGAGAGAATGAGGCAGCGATGTCAGTTTGGCATTTACATGATTTAAACTACTTTTTCAATATAAATAAACACAACAACAATATTTGCTAGCCGCCTGGCAGGATGATGGTTGTTACAAAGTATGTAAATAATTGAAAAGTGTTTAGCAAATATTAAAAAACTTTAAATAAAATATAAAGTGATGTATCAGTGTACTAAATATTAACGTGCAAGTAAGTAAAGTGTATCAAATGTTTTAAAGTTTTTATTAAATAAATGTTTTTGTATATCTGCAAGAAAGTAACCAAAAATTGAAGTTGAGTAAAATTTGGAAGTTTAAGGAATTGTTTGTGTGTGATATGTAATATTTCCCCCAATGAAATTGGTCATATCAAATAGCATGTGTTTTCGCTGTACAATGTTCAAGCCTGTCAGGTAGAAGTAAGTTGGAAAGGTTTTGGTGGATGTTCCAATGGGAGAGGAGAGTGCTTGCGAGTGTATGAGAATCTCGGTCAAAGTAATCTTACAAAACTTAAGTGCGACCCAGTGAAGTGGAGGTTGTATGAAACATATTACCAGGATGACTTATCATGTAATATTTGCACCCACAGCACAAATTTTGCGAGAGTACAACACAGAGAGCTCATTTAAAATGTTGCACTAGCACTAAACGGTGAGCCGGTTTGATGATGATAAAACGTTTGTATGTATATTAATCTCAGCAAATGAAAGTGCAAGGATATTTTTGTGAATTTGCTACACTGGGCATGTGCTACATTAGCACCACCAGCAAGGGAAAGTCGACATACGGTCGCGCAACAAAGTTGCTTGTAAACATTGCAAACAATACGAAAAACAAAACAATAATAACAACAACCACATGTGGTTTGTGCGCGTATGTCAGCGATGTGGGGGAATGTAAAATCGATGACATTGAGCGTGCAACAATGTAGTTACTGCCGATACAGTTGTTGCAGGAGCTGCGTCTAAAATGTGCTGTTACTTCGTTGTGAATGTTAACTTAGGTTTTAATACGTACGTTTGGGGCTAACGACCGTGGTGCACTTTTTGCTCTTCGATACCTCCAACATTGTATGTAGCTGCTGTTGTTTGGTATCAACTACGGCTGTGGTCTGGACGCACCTATATTTTTTGGTATATTACTAGCTGACACAAGCATAAAAATGAGAGTAGATGATAAAATGTATACTGCAGTAAATGTTTCCCATCGTTTGCACCACTTCCGCCCCAATTATATCTACACATTTTTTCCTTACAGCGTTACTTTGTGAGCATTGCATTTTGTAGACAAAATTTGGGACAGTAATTGCAAAAGTTACTTTGTTGCGAAGAATTGATTTTTGCAGAACCGCAAGAAAAAGTCATAAAAACACTTACAAAACGCTTACAAAAAGGGAATTAATCGATTGAAATAATATTATTGTATTATTGAACACAACAAAAGTCAATTTATGTAAAATTATGCAAATGGAAATAAAATTGAAAGTGGAAAATTCGTTAAGTCAAAGTTGAAGATAATGGTGATATAATGCAATAGGATAAGAAAAAAAAAAAAGTTGAACGCAATCAAGTGAATCCAAAAATCAAGGTTAATATACATTTTTAATGAAAATATGTAACTGCACAGAAAATATAATATTTAATACATAAATAAAAGTAAATAATAATATATATACCCATGTCTATGCATATATATAACGGAATGCAACCAAAACATAAGTGCATCCATGTTTTGGTTCCATCAGGGCACGCCCAACTTACGTTATAATTCAATGATGGTTTGTACGTAACTACTATGTGGTTTGAGAAAGGGGTAAAGAACAAGTGCCATATACTGCCGGGATTTATATACATATATAAGTTACCATCTTACCTTGTACAACCAGACTGTTATATGGGTTTGTAGCGTTTAAGGTTTTCATTTAAACTAAGATCAGTGTTAAGTTCAATGTCTTTTCATGTGTGGTTCAACACGGTCTATATCACGAGTATTTCGAAGAAAAAAAAATAAAATTATAATTCTATTACTCTGTTTAGAACTACAATCAAAATACTATTCTAAATATAATAAATTAAGTTTTACACATATTAATGCTACTCAAAATCTTGAGTAACGAGTTCGGTAGCTGAGTAACTGAGTAATAAAGTAACAGAAGCAACATAGTTTTGCACAGTTACTATGTTACAACAACAACCCACATTTGTATTTTGTAGGTGCTACTTCCCACTATTACTCAGTTACTTGATTACCGAGCTCATTACTCGTGATTGTGAATACCACTATTATCATTAATTAAATTTCCACTTTATCTAATAGAAAACCAAATTTTTAAATGTTTTACTCACTATTAAACTATTTTAAGGTCTTGGTTAACTTTCGAATACGTTTTGTAAATAAAGTTATTAAATTAAATTTTACTCAGTACTAAATATTTTTTAGAAATTGGTTCTAGCGAAGTTTTTGGGTTGTTCCACGTATCGTTTCATATAAATGTTGGCTTCAGTATTATTTTAATGTTTGTATTCCTTATTTTTAGTGCAGTAAAGTAGCAATTTCTTTATTTTTTTTAGTTTTTTATTTTTATGGTGTTGTTAGCTGGCACTTATACTACAAGAGTCTAAGTTTAATACATATGTTTTCGAGTTATGTGAAACGAGGTACAATGAAGGGCTGGTTTTACACCGTAATTGAAATAAACTCAATTCATGCATTGGAAATTACTTAATATACTTAAGTATATAAAAAAATAACATAATTACTTCAGTAAATGTTGTTGAGGATATTTTTTTTGATTCATACTGACAAAAAATATGGTTTAATAAATTGTGAATATTTAATATTATGATCAAGAATTTATTCCTTCTATGATTCTTAAAACACTTCTTAAACTTATCACCTCCGTGGTGATATCAAAAGAACTTTTAAACCTTTAAGTTTTAAAACTAGTAATACAGACGTTACTAGTTTTAAAGGTTAAAGGTTTATAAGTTCTCTTGATATCACTAGGGCCGGCTTTCGCATGAAAGTAAGCGTTGCGAAATATAAGTAAACAAATAAAAACATAAATTTGATTTAAAAAAAAAAAGGAAAAACATATTACAAACCAATTGCATCAAATTATTATTATTTCCACAGTAATTTGAATATCATCCCTATTAAAATTGATTTCATTCCGGTGTTATTGTCAATTTTATCTTGTGGTTAGAGCGGTTTTGAATATTGTATTTATTTAAATACAATAAATAACTAACTGTATTCAAAGTTTATAAATTATTCTTTAATAAAATTGAATTTTAAGTAATATATTTGAAATTTACATTTATATTATTAACTATATATTTATATTTCTGTATTTTTTAGACAAATTTAAATATATTTTAAATGAATCGTCGAATGGAATAAATGAATTTGACCCTAGATAATGTGAAAACGAGAACAATCGAAAGTATGCTAAACATTCCCCTAAATTAATAAAATTTGATTAGTTAAAGAAGTAGTAAAAAAATAGCTCAAACATGTCATCGACCTCTTCCGCAACCTCCGGCAACAGTACTCAATTAACAACCAAAACAACAATAGTAACTGCCGTAAACAGCTCTTCCGCCAGTACGTCGATGTTTCAGTTCCTTTGCATCGTATTCGCTTGCATCATTTGTTACTATAACAGTGCGCAATGTGGTCTAGTTTTTGACGACATCAGTGCAATACGTGATAATAAGGACCTACGTCCCAGTACTCCGTTACAAAATATATTTCTCAATGATTTTTGGGGCACCCCCATGCGCAAGGAACAATCTCATAAATCTTATCGACCACTCACCGTACTCACATTTCGTTTCAATTACTGGCTGCATGAGCTCCAACCATATGGCTACCACGTCTGTAATGTTATGCTGCACATTGTTGTTTGCTTATTGTGGCGACGTGTTTGCCGGCTAATATTGCTGCAATGCGCATGTGTTGGTAGTAGGGAAAACAATGCTCAAAGTAACGACGCCGCTGAAGCCAGATATAAAGCGCTTAATCATTGCAGTTTTCTCGCTGCACTGTTATTTGCAGTACATCCCATACATACCGAAGCAGTTACCGGTGTTGTTGGACGTGCTGAGTTACTCTCATCCATATTCTTTTTGGCGGCATTTCTCTCATATGCCGGTGCTGTAATGCCAAGCTGCACAAATCGTCGCCAACCGCAGCATAGTCAACCACAACAGAAACGAACACGTTGGGTACTTTTAATCTGCAGTTTCTTCAGTTGTCTTTTGGCTTCGATGCTGTGCAAGGAACAGGGCATAACGATAGCGGGTATATGTGTTGCATATGAAGTATTTGTTGTGCAGCAGATACGTCCTTTAGACTTATGGTGTTATTTGCAAGAACTTTTTGAAGAAAATAAAATGAGCTCACCTGCTCTTAAGGTGAATGGAAATGGTGGAAAAGTAACCGTAACAAAAGTGAAAACAGTACATGCAATATGGAATGCAACGCTAGTAAAGCGTTTATGTTTTTTAATCTTCGTTACTGTGGCCTTATTTGTTGGACGTGTTTATGTTATGGGTTCGCAACTGCCAGTATTTACGCCTTTTGATAATCCTGCAGCTTCGGCGGAGACGCCTTCGCGCCAGTTAACATATAGCTACCTGATTTACTTAAACGTTTGGTTGCTTTTATTTCCTAGCAATTTATGCTGCGATTGGACAATGGGTATGACTTGTACATACGTATATTTATATTGAAACAAATTTTTTGAATAAATTCTTATTATTTTAAGGTACCATTTCGCTTATTGAAGGTTTCATTGACATTCGTAACGTAGCTACCTTGGTTACATTCGCGATGCTGTTTGGTTTGGTAGCACGTGCTTGTACCACTAAAAATCTCACTTTATCGCGTACATTGTTAATGTGCCTTGCATGGACTGTTTTGCCTTTCATACCAGCTTCAAATTTATTCTTTCCTGTTGGATTTGTAGTAGCCGAACGTATATTATATATGCCTTCCATGGGTTTTTGCTTATTAGTGGCCTATTCATATACTAACTTTCAGCAAAGACTTCGGCAGGCTTCGATTTTAAAATATGTACTGAAATTTGGTTTGGTTTTGCTACTTATAACGCACACTATAAAGACACATCAGCGCAATTTGGACTGGCGAAATGAATATACACTCTTCACCTCTGGTCTGAGGGTAAATACTCGTAATGCAAAATTATTTAATAATGTGGGACATGCTTTGGAAAACGAGGGTCGATACGAAGAGGCTTTAAAATATTTCAAGAAAGCTGTACACACACAAGCAGATGATATTGGTGCACATATTAATGTGGGACGTACTTATAATAATCTCAAAATGTATCCAGAAGCAGAGGAAGCATATTTAAAGGCAAAAGCATTATTCCCTAAAATAAAGCCTGGAGAAACCTATCAGGCGCGAATAGCTCCCAGTTATCTGAATGTTTTCATAAATTTGGCGAATTTAATTTCAAAGAATCAAACTCGACTTGAGGAAGCTGATTATCTGTACAGGCAGGCTATAAGTATGCGCGCGGATTATGTTCAGGCTTATATCAATCGCGGGGATATATTAATGAGACTAAATCGTACTGCACAAGCACAGGAAGTATATGAGAAAGCTTTACTTTACGATAGTGAAAATGCGGATATACATTACAATTTAGGAGTTGTGTTTTTGGAGCAAGGAAAGAGTGCGCAGGCGCATGTTTATTTCAATAAGGCTATTGAATTGTTTCCTGAACATGAACAGGCCTTACTAAATTCTGCTATATTATTACAAGAAATGGGTGGTGCAGAAGCAAGACAATTATCGCGTGAACGTTTACATAAAGTACTAAATAAAGATAAAAATAATGAAAAAGTGTATTTTAATCTGGGTATGCTTGCAATGGATGAATCTAATTTCGAAGAGGCTGAACAGCTTTTTAAAAGGGCGATACACTTAAGGGAGAATTTTCGTAGTGCACTTTTCAATTTAGCTCTGCTCTTAGCAGATGCGAATCGACCATTGGATGCAGTACCTTTTCTAAATCAACTTATACGTCATCATCCCACACATATTAAAGGACTCATATTACTTGGGGACATATATATAAATCATATGAAAGATTTAAGTGCAGCTGAAGTTTGTTATCGCAATATACTTAAATATGATCCCAGCAATTCGGAGGGTATACACAATTTATGTGTTGTTTTTGTGGAACGTAAACACTTAGCTAGAGCGGCAGCTTGTTTGACATATGCACATCATATGGCACCTAATGAAGATTATATTAAACGACATCTACAAATAGTGCAATCGCGTCTACTAAAGTTATCAAAGTTACCTGACTCGTCACCAGAAAAACGGACTGCTTTCATAGATTATAATCCAACGGAATTCGATATTCAAAATGAACATAAATCATAGTGATAGATTTACTTTTAAGTGTTTCTCTCAGCAATGTGTGTGAATCTCAAGGAAGATGTTACTATAAGATATTTGAAGTTCTAAGGTGAAATTGTAAGCAAACATTTGAATCTTAAAAATACTTTGGTATACTTCGGCTTACTTTTTTAAGCTAGCTTTTATGTGTGGCTGAATTCTTTCATTTGAATTCTTTCATTTATATTATTGAATATATAATTGGGGAGCTTCGTTACAATGGACCAAATAAAAATGAGAAAAATTTCAAAGCTTTATAACTGATATTAGATATGTAGTATTCGATTTTATTTGTAGAAGATGGAAGAAGAATAAGGATTCAGAGCTATAAAATTCTTGTCATGAATGTAAAGTCTTACCAAGAGAATATTATATTTCCATTAAAGATGTTGCAGGTTGTAGCTTGAGTATCAACAGATAGAATAGGACTAATTTATATGATTAGAAGATTCAATTAATATTGTCACTTAATTTCTATAATGGGAAAATCAGGCACTTAAAAGTGTGCTGCGAAATCAATTATACTATGTTGAACTATTAGTATCGAAGTTTGTACATTGGCAAATTGCGCAAATGGTTTAGCATCAGTCTTCTACTCGAAAATCTAAAAATGAGTAGTGTAGGAAAAAAAGTAAAAAGTATATAAATTATGCTGTAGATATTAAATACCAAAGCCGCGTTTACACAACGTTCATGTTGTTGTTGTTGTAACTGATGTAGGGAGGGGGAGAGGCATTTTGTTGTCTACAAAGACAAGTGACTCCGGTACGTAGACTCGGTCGCGTCTGGTAATGTTTCTGTTAATAATGATTCTCTGTGGTGGTATAAAGTTAATGAGACTCCTTAAGTTAATGTTTGCAACAATTTCACATTTAAACTTTTAGACCACTTTGATTATCAAATATATATATTAAATACATACACTTAAATTAATTTTTATATTAGTAAAATATTGTTAAGATTAAAAATAAGTAATGCTCAAAAAAATTTTGTTGAAGTATTCAATATTTAGCTTAAATATTTTGCTCTACATAAATTAGTTTTATTATACTTCCATTTGAGAATTGTTATTAAATAAAATTATTTACAAATATTTGTTTTGTTATTCTAATTAATTTAAATATAAATAATGTTAAATATTTTATTTTGTAACCGATAACATGATATACGCCAACCTATACAGGATTTTTAATAGCAACGATATACGTAAATGCTTATAGCAGCATAATTTATACATTCCATTTTTAAAACAATTATGAACTATGTATACTGTAAACGTTTATAAATATATAGTATAAATATGTAAAATAAATAAATAATCACTAATTGTTAGTTAACTGCACATAAAAATTTAATGTAATATACATTTATGTAATTATATGTATTTAAAAACAGGAACACTAACTTTTTGTAACACGTTTGCAATTAAAAATATTACAATTTTAATTATTTTATTAAATAACACGTTGAATAAAATTGTACTATATGTATAATAAAAAATTTTTTTTAATTCAAATGTAAAATTCATCAATGGTATATACATATATTATTCTAATTGTTCTCGATAGTTAATGCGAATCTGACGTAGAATGTTCTCAACGAACATGGACTTAATGACAATATATGCAACTCTTGTTCTATCTTGTTGATATCTTTTGGATTTACAAAGAGTTTGTGTTCTGCTCGTCATTACCAATGGTTCTATGGTTAAAACTTACTGTTGGACATATTCAAATGTATGAATCTTCTCCCTTAGGTTTATATAGAAATCTGATTCTTAGAGACGCATAAACTTAAAATGCTTGTGAAGGGACCCCAAAATGTGTAGTTAAGCCCACAAGTACAACTGCAGCTGAATAGGGTCAACTTAAGTAACAATACTCAGTCTACAACTAGTTATTTTAGACAGAGGCGGTACCAAATTGCAATATAGTTTAATCCAATACTGAACGGATCGCACTATGTAGAGGTAAGTCTTTGATTAATAGAGCTAAGTAGAGGAATGAATACAATCTATAAGTAAGGCAATGCCCAAATGCAGTGCAGTTAGGGCCACTGATGTTGCATTATTTGAAGTTATTTGAAATAGATTCTTTATAACATGACTTCTGATAGTATTTTAAGATATTGAAATTAATATACAAGAGTTTCACATTTAGTAGTAAATATTTATTTCAAATAGTTAATAAATAAATTTATAAATAAATGGTTTCTTATTAATAAAAATGTTTTAAATTTTTGCAATAATTTGAAAAACACCAGTTTTTTACATTTAAATTGTTATGTTCTAGTATTTGTTTTTAATTTAAATTCGTATTTATAAAAATATGTCTTTTGAGCTCGATTAATTTCCAGAGTACTTTTTTTTAACAATTTTGATGTTCATTTAAGATGTGTCATTTACATTGATAAGAAAATCTATGTATGTATTATATATGTAAGTAAGAATATATGTATATATATGCCAAATATATGCATTTATATATTTATACATAAATATACAATATATATATTATATACAATAAGGTGTACGTACATACTCATATATTTAGTGTTAACAGTTTTCCAAAATCGGTGAGAATGAGAGATACCCGTAAATTTCTTGATATATTTTCTGATACTTATGCTAATTTGACTAGAAGTGCTAATTTTTATGAATATAAACAAATAGAATAGAATAAAAAAGAATCTCTTATTTTAACAAAGCCTTTTAAAAATCAGACTTACTACTATAAAACTCTAACATCTTTCTTGGCTCTTACATGTACTATTAATAAGGCTCATGATCCTTCATTTGGTATGGGAAAGGAATAATCTTAAAATCATTTGCGATTTAAATTGTAAAAATGCAAACATTATTAAAATTGAAGATAATTTAATAGTTATATTATTACATATTCTTCTAACTGAACTATGAACTAGTTCAATTCATGGGATATATAGTATATGTATTACAATCAGTATTATAGGAAAAAATCTAAAACTGCTGCTGAAACTGTTTGTGTTTCTTTATATTGCAAAATAAGAAGACGAAGAGATTTTTATTATAGTTCTAAAAATTTTATAGTAAACAGTTCAATAGTAAATATTGAATTTTTGTATCATCACTAAAGGGGTGTTCACGATATCATATAACGAGGTCGGCAACAGAGTAACATTGTAAAACTCCAAATATATGTAACATACGAGCTCGTTACCTGATATCGTGAATACCATTTATATTTGTCTTCTTCTATTCTTTATTTTATATTCATGTTTCGAGTATATGTATATGTAAATTATAGCAAATCAAGATTAAGGCAACAATTTTGTTTTACTTCTTACGAGTACATCTGCGCAGAATTTAGAAGCTAAATCTGCTTTAAGAAATTAGTTAACTTTGAGAAATATTCTATTCACAAGCAATTTTGCCATCAAAACTACTTAATGCAATTGCAAAGGCTTGCAATGCACACAAAGGATAACGATAGTCCATGGTAAATACATCTTCAGAAGTCCGTCCAAATTGCATTACTATATACTCAGGATCAGAATCGTGAACAAGCTGAAAGTTCTTCACTGAAGCTTGCGTCACTCTACCATGAAAATTAAGTACATAAGACTGTGTCTCATCATTCCAGACAGGTGTTTTGTTATGTAATTCAACAATTGTGTCCATATTCTGAAAGCAATATGTAGTGTCTTTAATAAATTGCTATCATGCATAAATAATAAATATTATCGTACCTTCACTTTCCATAAATCTAATATGCCTTGTTGTTTTGGATCTGCTGAACTAATTTTGACACGTTGATCATCTTCAGTCATACCAGGTAATATAACAGTCATATTTCGCGGTCCTTTAAAACCCAGTATATTTGTATCCTAATGAAAAAAATATATATAAAAATATGTATAACTAATATACATAATATAATTTTTCTTTAAATTGACTTACATAAATAACAACTGCCAGGTCTAAACGTGGGTTTTCTGCACTCTCCTTGCTACCATTGTCGTATACGGAAAATGTTGTGCCCAATACATTCGACCGTAATTTACCACAAAAACCATCTGCATTACGTGACAAGTCTGTTGGATCACAACTTATGATATAGTTTGAGGTTTTACTCTTCTTACGTTTGCGTCCTTGTAATATTTAGAAAACATGGTTTATAAGATCTTTTAACACAATATATATTTCTATTCTTACCTCCTAATAGGAATATCTTTTTGCCGTAATCGCGTTCTAAATGTAAATAATATATAGGAAATAAACCTCGATCCATTCCTTTACGATCTCGAGTTATACGGCATTTAAAGAGCACACCTTGCGCTGCTGGCTGTATAACAAATTGATCAATGTTACCTATTACATCGCCTTCTGGTTCAGCGTTTTCTAAACTATTTCCAGAAAGTGATACTGTGGACTGTGCTTGGGTTGAGTTTGTGGCAGAAGTTGAGTTATTTTTTGCTGAGTTAACTGGCATTATTGGAGCACCTGTTGAGTTTGCTGATACAATATTGCGATTTTTAATGTCATCTTCATCTAGTTGATCGCTGAAGGACTGTTGACGTCCACGTTGACGTTGGTTTGATGAATCTGAGTTAGTGTTGTTATGTTGTACATCATTTCTACCATACACAGGGCTGCTTTCATCATCTTCTAGATCGTGCGTGGAGAGCTCTTCTATTATATCTTTTACAAAAAATATAAAAATGAATTTTAAAATAATCACAATCATGATAAGCAATAAGTTTCATTGTTTAGTTGATACATATATATTCTAAGTTCAATATCTATAGAATAATAATAATGTTTCTAAGGTCAATAATCGTATATGTCATACATTTGGTCTAATATTTATCCTTTATCTATATAATGAAAATATCTATATATCTGTTTTATTTCTTTATATATATAATATTCATTTTTTAATATTTTTAGTATAAAAATAAATGAATAAAGCATACTTCAGAAGTACAATGAAATGTCGTCTTTCAAGATATATTTTTGAATAAAGTTCTCAGATAACAAAATTTATTAAAATTCACTTGAAGATGAGATATTATGTATATAATTTTTAGGTACTGACATATCTGCATTTATTATTTGATAAAAAAAAATAGTGTTAAAATATGTTTCTTCTTAAATTAAAGTACAATTTAATATTTTATATCACTAAAAATATTAAAAAGAACAAGTAGAGAAAACGAAATAATTAAAGAGTAATCAGGAGTAATTCCTAGCTTTTATATTTCATATAAAAGTTTACCTTCATCATGACTTCCGCTTCCAGAACGTAAACCATTTAAATTTGTTTTACTCGGCACTTGTGTTAATATCTGATCAGGATTATTTGGCGAGCTAATAAATTGCATTGGTCCATCATAGGCATATACTTCACGACTGTTAGTACGCATACCAGACATCGGTCGCTGGATTTGTAAGTCGCTGGCTTGTACCATTCCAGGTGACGCACGTTTTTGTCGTATGTAAGCCTCCATCAATTGTCGCTATAAAAAAATTAATTATAGATTGTGTTAAGAAAATAGTTTCTTGAGTTATAATTGGCTTTAAATATAAAATTAATATAAAATTAATTATATTATCTTATATATTACATATAAGTTAACATAATTGAATTTATATGTTGCATCTATGTAATTGTCTTCATATCTAATTAATATATTCATATGCAATATAATTGAATAAGTCCTTATAAAATAGTAAAAAGAAGATATTAAACCTTTGTAACTATAGATGTTATAACCATGGGGGTTTTATAATTACTAAACTGTAAAAAAGTAAAACATACAGGAAGAAATGTTTAAGTCAGTCTTCAGTAGTTGTGCATAAGAATTTGGATTTTAATAAGAATCAATAACATAGCTATGATTGTTGAGGAGAATTGATTGCTATCTTGTAATCAAAGATTGGTAAAAATTATTATATATATGAAAGATTTTAATATTCTTCTATCACTTCTATGACTCTTCTATGAGTAGTGATGAGTTATAACTTCGGGGATGGTTTATTACAATAACTATTATAAAGACTTCTTAAGTATTTATAATAGATCAAATAGCAAATCATAAGTGTCTGTTTTTATGTTCTGTAATCATAGACTATATATCATGGACTATTATCATTCACAACAATGATGAAATAATACGCTTTACCACAACACGGATAATTGTATTAATCCATAGTAATATATTAATTGCCTAAACTGTTATAACATTCTGTTGTAATTAGGTTTCGCAGGAAAAGTGTGTGATATTGTATAAAAAAATAATAAGTTTTTATTAGTACTTATATATATATATAATCAGAAAACATGTGTATTTTTTATATTATCACGTGATTTTTATTAAAAAAAAATACACGTTTTCTAGTGATAACGGTGGTAAGGTAAATGTTACTATAGTAAAAATATTGTATTTATAATACTTTTTTTGAATACTAGCATTTGACTTTGTACTCTCCGCATATTTTTACAATAGCACGTGTTCATACAGAATATAAACGAAATTTTTTAGATATTCAGACCTTAATTAATAACAAGATATGATTTCATTTCATAATATAAGTATTAAAAATTTGTTTAAAGCAGATTATAAGATACATATACAAAAATAAAATTAAAAGACTTTTCTTAAAAATAAATAAAAATAAGGTCATTTACATGCCATACTTTGTAAACATATATATGTACTAGTAGACCTATAGATATACTATCTATTGAAATATTGGTATAAATTAAATAAAATATCAAATAGATTATGAACATATATCTGATAATTAATATATTTTCCATTTATTTTTTTTACGTATATATATTTAACGCAGCGCTAGTTGCATTTGCCTGAATATACAATTAAAGATAGTACTTGTAATTACCGGATTTTTGTATTTCTCTATGCATATATCATTTTCACTTTTATCATGACCGATATTATGATTCCGAATTGAACTAATGACATTCAGAACGCGTGCTGTTGCCATTTCAATTGTTATAAGATGTGACATTCGCAATATTTAATTAAATGTGGGAAATCATTGCAAGCAGTGGTGATATCACTGCGAGGAAGAGATGGATGTGAAGAATAATTGTTCTCCATACCATGTGAGGAAGTGCGGTTTATATGAATTTTCGTTATGTATGTACATCTACATTTCTATATATTGCGAAATAAAATATTTATTATTTAGTTTTTACGAAAACATAATACCAAAAATGTAGGCAATATCGCAGAAATATTTTAACATGTGTGACGCAATTTATGGACTTACCTCTCTTTCATATAATAATAATGACCCTGAAAATTTTGTTGATCATAAATGTGGTAAACATTTGGTCATATATGCCTATTATGGAACACTATACGTGTTTTTTTATGTATAATATATTACATTTGGTAACTTATTATCATGGGACTGTTTTTTGAATACTATCCTAATACAATAAGGAAAAGTGTGAAAAACTGAAAATTTCTTTAAGAATCTAATTATTTCTAGAGATCTATTTAGATATCAAGTAAATATTTATTAAATGCTTGACCTTCTGAAGTAGTTGTTAAATTCTCTTACAGTCTTCTGGATCAAGAAGACACGATAATGTCTCTTATGTTTAAAATCCTTCAAATTACTTAAGATGCTTCAAATGTATCATTAAAGTTTCTAATTGCAGATGATCTTAGTGCAAATATGAAATGCACACTTTAGAGTCTATCTTTTAAAAACGTTACACTTGTAATGTGAATTGGGTTTCAGGTTACGTACGACAACTAATGACGTTTTAAAACACTCGGAAAAGACACGAGAAATGTTATAATTCGATGACTACAACAAAAACTGGATATAGAATAAAGTTTAATTCAGTAATTTAGTGACATAATCGGTAAAATAAACACACATGCAAAGGCTTCTATTAAAAAATGTTGGGGATTCCCGATGCAAGAAAAAATATTTTAATCACTTAAAAAACGAAGAGAAAATTTTATGAAATCAAACCAAATTAAAAATAAATTTTTGAGACACATTATGATTGTAAACCTAGCTAGTTGTGCCTATATATGTACCTATTTATATAGAATTGTAAATCGGTACCATGGGTCTGCTAAGGTAAATTTATCATGTTTGGAAAACTTGAAATATTTTAAACTCTGAAGAAGTCCAAAGGCTGACGCATTACGAATATAGATTAATGTGGTTTTTTTTAATAATTAGTGTAAATTCCAAATATCTCTTAAAGATAAAATAATTATTGACTAGCATATGCTCAAGCTATTGAGCTGAGTCTATTAGATATGGTCGTTGTTTGTAGGGAACTATCTAACTGCATTGCCATGTAATGAGGGTCATTTTTTTTATTTTTTTTGGACTGTCATTTGACAGGTCTTTTGGATCAATAATGAAATTGTGTACAGAGTGTGGGTTCGCCTTTAGCAAATCACACATCCGAATTTTTGTGCGAAGCACATGAAACGGCAGTGACTTTTGTAAAGTCAGACGTGATTGTTGTTTGTTGTTTTTTATTGCACAAATTAAATTGAAAAAATCATAATTTTTATTATTATGTTTCATAAAACAATCGCAAAATTGTATTTTTGCAAAAATTAAACAAAAATAATTACGGTTAATCGTTTAGGGTAAAAGTGTTTATACACGAGCTAATCTCTTTGAACGATAAGTGTGACCATAAATTATCGAGCAAAAATAACTGAGAATTTTTTGTCAATAGTGCCAATTTTGATAAGAAATAAATATCAAATCAATCGAAGAGAATATTTTAGTTGGTAAATAGATTCGAAGCTAGTCAAAACAAAAGTGCTAGTACTAACGATGTTGTTCCTCCAAAAGCTGTTAACAGTAGCCGTCGTGTTCAGCGTATTCGTTACTTTGCCTACAGCCACCAAATGTGATACTTCTTATTATGAAAAGTATCATTCGGCGCGTCGTTTTGTACCGCTTAAGCGTACTTCTCTGCTGCAGTACAACTTCACAGTGACTTTGACGGAGCAATTGGCCAGTTATGAGCGTGTTGCTCTTGTGGGTAGTTTGAAGCAGCTGGGTAGTTGGCAGTCACATTCCGCAGTTCTGTTAAATCGCACACAGGCACATAATGTCTGGAGGGGTGAGGTGCGTCTGCCAGTCAATAGCAGCGTTAGTTACCGTTATTTCATAGCTGCTGTTGAACAGGGAACAGGCGTAGTGCAAATACGTCGTTGGGAGTCTAACATAAATGCGCGTACGTTCAAGACTGCCGTACTGTCGGGAAATCGTACAGATGAGTTTGGTTTAATAGAAGCGGATAAAGGGGCAGAAGTGCGGCGGGGCTGGTTAACAACCGGTAGTAAGATTGTACAGTTCAAATTGTTCCGCAAACCTCTAGACATTATGCAGACTTCGTCAAGTGAACAGTTATATGTTAAAGTACAGCCCATTGAACCGCAGAAATTGACGCCTATTTTGCCAAGTGCACGTGCGAACACAGAATATGTTCGCATGTCATATGGAAACAGTTATTTGCGCGAGCAACCTGAGTTTGGTGTACCTTATAATGATAATGACATTTTAATGTTCCACACGACTTTGACAGAAATGGATAAAGTAGCATATTTGTTGAAGGTTTACGCGACCGATAATCAAGGTCTTGGTTTGGTACGTCTAATTGGCTATCAGTATATTAAGCCACAACAATTACGAAATACGGAGGGCAATTTTACAATTGATTTAATATCGCCAATTTGGTTGTATTCCGTTGGAACTGTGAATATACAATATTTGGTAGTGACACCATTACCATCTCAAACAATTGGACAAGTTAATTTACGTACATCGTTTGTTGATTATTGGCGCAAGAATTGGACACGCTTAGAAATGGGACATCGTGGTTTAGGTAAAAGTCTGAAACAAACTACCAATGCTGCACCTATAATTGAAAACACAGTTGCCTCAATGAAAGCTGCAACAAAATTAGGCGCCGATTTTGTGGAATTTGATGTGCAACTTACCAGTGATTTTGTACCCATTATATGCCATGACTACTCAATATTTGTTTGCATGAATCCGAAGACACCAACTAGCAAGGATGATTTAACTGAAGTGTTGATAAAAGATATCACTTATGACCAGTTGAAAAATTTAAAAACTTATCAGGTTGTTGGCAATAAGATAGTAGAGTATCCAGCGCATAACACTTTGGAACAGGAAGATCAGAGATTATTTCCACTATTTGCAGACTTTTTGACTAAAGTTAACAAATCTGTTGGCTTTGATATTGAGATAAAGTGGCCACAATTGACCTCGTCCGGTACATATGAAAGTATACAAACAATTGATAAAAATCTATATGTGGATCGCATAATCGAAGTAATGTTACAACACGGCTGTGGAAGGTTAAGTTTCTTCACCAGCTTCGATGCTGACATCTGCACACTATTGCGTTACAAACAGAATATGTATCCTGTAATGTTTCTCATGTCCAGCCTGGAAAATAGATTTGCTGATCCACGTTCTGATACAATTTATGAGATTATAAATAATGCACAAGCTTTTGATTTAGCTGGAGTTGTGCCAAACGCAAAAATGATAAAAGAAGATCCAAATTGGATAGAAGTAGCAAAAGCGCAAAACAAGAAAATCGTTTTATGGGGCGATGACATTAAGGATACTGAATCAATTAAATATTTCAAAGGGTTGGATCCAACAGGTATTATATATGATCGTATGGATTTGTGGTTGCCACATAATAAAACTAATGCTTTTGAAATGGAATCGGATTTGCCTGCATTCTTTCAATTACAGTGCGCCCCTATACAATTTAAAACAAATAGTTCACAGATTGATAGTGTATTGAGTAATGTTAATTTCCTCTAATTAATTGTTATAAAAAAAAAATTAAATAAGAGAAACTTTGGTGTTAATTTTTTAATGTAGTGAACGGGTATAGTATTTTTTTTTTTAATAATAACAGATCAAGGTAGTTGATACATTTGCAAGAGAAAGACAAGACAAGATAAGTTTGTATTCAAACAATAATTGCAAAAGGATGCAGATATAGAAGTAGTTAATTCCAGGTGAAATTAGTTTTAAAAATAAATTGCTGTTATTTTAGATATAAGTTTAAAGAATATATGATTAAAAAGAACATTTTTCAAAAGGCGATGTGCTGTGATATCAAGGCAGTCGAAAATTACACAAACTAGATCGATATATATTTACTCATAACTACACATTAGATGTTTTAATGAGATCAGGTGGAGTTCTTTAAAAATTTTGTAAGAAAGGAAACTTAGTCACTTATACCTTATTGACATTTTTAAAGCACCCGTACGAATCTTTAATTAATATTAAAATATTATTATATTTAAATACTAAAAATTGTTAATAGGATAATACCACATTATTTCAGCAAGCTAGAAGTACTTATATATAGATAAATGTGAACCTGTAAGAGTGAGTCTAACTAAGTACTAAAACAATTTAATCCGTGACTCTACTCCTATTCTGTAATGCAGGTCACTTGACTTACATGTTTAATTGGGACTAAATGGTGATAATCTTAATTTATGAACTTACTTTAAGTATCTGATTTGTATTATTTGATTGTATTATTTGTATACTGGGATAAGATATTAATTCTTGATCTTTACGGATCGCTGACGAAAAGTTTCCACAATTCATTTTGAAGAGCTGGGTCCAGTAAAATAAGTGTTGAATGTATATGTTATCAATCTAATTTATTACTTTTCCTTTACTTTCTTGTTTGTCTAGTCCGAAATAGAAAATGTGAATAATCACATAAATAAATGTCTCACTGATTTGTAAGAATTCGTATAAAATATTCCTGTGTTCACATTTGTGGTTTTATGATGATAAGTTTATGTCATAAATATTCTCTAAACTTCTCCACTAATTATTGCTTGTACTTCTGTATAAAATGTTACTCTTACCACAATTAGAAATAGTTTACCTATATTAAGGCGTCCTACTAAACGAATACAATAACTTTTAATACCTGTACTTTTTTCTTATATATTTTATATATTTTAGTTTTACTTGATATGTTCTAAACCCACATTTTTTTAATATCTTTGGATATCGTCCATCGTTCAGATGTTGTACAGCTATACTATATTATTTGTGGAATATTTCACTTTCTATTTTTAAAATGTTAAAATTGATTTTATTTATTTTGCAAAAATTATTGTTTAAAATTATCTGGTACGTTTGTCTAATACCACTTGAAGCTGCTAATGCAATACTACTTATCACAGTCATTCATTTTTCCTTATCATTCTTATAATACTTACCGTAAATAACAGTACGAGTATAAACTAAGCGAAGGTTGGAAGAAAAATATGAAAAATCCAATTTGAGTAAATAATTTTTATCTTCAAATGCAATCTCAAACGCTGCAAACTTTTTGTGGATTGATAAATGCAATTTCCTTAGGTAAATAGTAGGAAGAGGGAAGAATTGCTGAAACTGCAGATTTAATAGCATTACTTAGAGTTGTCGAGTGAAAATAGAAAGAAGATAAATTGTATTGAAGAATTTAATTATTTATTAATTTAATTTCTTCTCAAAGTAGTTTTCGTTTGAAGTCTGCTCTACTGTTCTCTAGTGATGTTTGTCTGATTTATGAGAAAATTGCACTTTGATTTTTCTTCGTTTCAGAAAATTGCAATTATGCTGCGGGAAAAAGTGGTATTCAGTTCAACGAACTGAAAGTATATAATTAAAATCTTAACTTGGCTATCTACTTCAGTTTTCGCTTCATGAAATTCTGTGAAATGGTTTCAGTATCTATGCGATACATAAGAAAGTTTTTTAGAAAAGAGACGAAATTGTTGAAAATTGACAATAAATGTAACAAAAAATAGATAATTTGAGAAGTGTACACTTTATCAGTTTTATTTAGATGAATTTTTTTGAGAACATTTTTTTACAGTTACTCTTTAAGTGAATAATTAAACTTTGAAAAGAATTTGAAAAATAAAACTTATGGACTTTAAAATTGATGAATACCGTTAAGAAGGACAGACGTCTATAATGGCCAAAAGAGCAAGCACTTAAAGGCTACGTAAATAGGTTAATATGATTTTTGACTAATTTATGTAGCGGCAGACAAAACATTATGTTATTATGAGACTACATGATCCTAGTATGTTTTTCAAAATAATTATCCTTTTTGAAGCATATTGTAGCATCCTCAAGTAATCTTGGTTTATAAGCACAAGTTAATGCACCTTCAGGTGATAATAATCAGATGTGGTCATTATTTTTTGATTATATTCTTGATAGGAACAAAGAAGATATTTGAATGTTTCTTCTTAGATCTTCATCAATGACTGTTGTAGACAAATGAATATTGAGATTTCATTTTTCGTATTGAGGGAAGCCTCTGTAACATTATTATGCATAATAATTTCTTCTTTTCTTGAAAGAAGAAGAGTGGTAGTTACTTTCTTGGTCACCTAATCTGGGATCCAGCTTCGCCATACATCGCGGTACAATGGCATTTAAATAGTATGTACCTATAGTCGAATTGTTATCTTATCTTATTTAGATAAGATCTTATTTATCTTATTTAGAAATTTGCGGCGATTGCCAACTGACTTTGCATTTGAAGTTATTGAGTTTTTATGCTTATATAGCTGCTTAGTTGTCAAAGTAATTATCTATAGATGTGGATGCGATCATTTTGCTTTAAAGGAGTTTGCATAGAAGAAACATTGCTTACAATATTGCAGAAATCAGGAAGTCGAAACTGTAAGGTTATTCTTAATACTTTTCAATAAATTTATTTGCTAACAAACATAGGAACATATAAAATCCTATGATATCATTAAATTCATTAGTGAGATTTTTTAATACTAATTATTTAATTAAAATTGTTAACTCTTGAAATAATCAACTGAAAAAGTTATGAATAATAAAAATAAGGTTATAACCACTGGATATGTACATATCTTTCACGCTTGAAGGCGTCGAGAAGTTTATCTCAAATACATTTAAAAAAAAATTATAAATATATATGGAAAAAATTGAATAGATATTTAAATGATATATTTAAATATAACGTTTAGATTCCCATCAATATTTTACATTAAAAGGCGAAAATTGACTAATAAGTACACATATTAGACATAAATATATGAATATTTTTTAAATTAAATTTATTTTACGACAAATATACTTCTAAATCTTTATTATCCTTTTGAAAGAAAACTCATAATATTAATAGCACCTCATTTTAGCATAAACTCAATATGGAAAAAATCTTTCTAAATTTGCATAGAATGGAGTTGAGGTTGAGGTGAGTTTAGGTTAAAAGAAAAAAAAACCGGAACACATAACAAAGTATGTAAAAAGGTTAGATCAACAGGATGGAAAATTCCTTAAGCCCATGAAGCCTATGTGTATTGAAAAGTACACAAAGAAAAGCTCCATAAAATTCAAAGGCTGTTAAGGATGGCAAATGTTTTGTGAATTTCTACACATTCATGTTTAAATTGCTGCTCTGTTAACTTTCTTGTGTGTTTCAATACATTCTTAAGGGTTTCTTTAAGGTTAATAAAGCGATTAAAGAGTCATTTAAGGACAAAAAGGCATAACCGTTTCGGCTGTTAATAGAATCTTACAATTTTTAACAAAATTGAGATATTCATCTTCTTATATATTTTATGAGGTTAAATGTGTTAAGTGCAAACAAATTTCAGAGTTGAAAAGTGTAAAGTCAAGTAGAAAAAACAAAAATAAATCAATTTATATTTTTCCATTAGAATTATAATAGAGATATAAATTTCAGAGTAATTACTAATCGCATGGGGTGGTACGCAGATCTTAGATCAATCATTGAATAATCACGAAGACTATCAGGAATACTCAAATTAGTCAGTGAGATGGGCGGGACTCTGCAAAATCCCCCCAGCTATCAGAGAGTAAAAGTGCCCAGATGCACTAACTCGGAAAAGGCTTAACATAACATAAATTTTAGTCTAAAAAATTGAGTTTAAGAAAACTTGACCGTAGTTGAGTTCTTGGACTTGTGAGAAAAAACGATGACCCATACAGAATTAGCTAGAACAATGAGCTGTACCAACTGATGAAAGTAGAGTAAGTTCGTTTGGTCATATCATAACATACGAGTATATATCATTTCTATCAGCAACTCACCAAGAAAGAGTAGGAGAAGAATAATAGAATTGCAAAGAAAAAAGAAACGACTGTGAATGGCTGTTATTCTGCAGACTTCGGCCATTTAAAGATTGTTAACCCAAGAATAATGATTAAGAATGTCAAGCAGACTTAAATAGTGTAGATAAAGCTATGAACTTCTAGAAGTTAGTTAAAAATAAGTGAAATAGTTTAGATTGAGAATAGTTACTCGGATAAGTAACAAATTTTTTATAAACATTAAACTAAAATATATCGACTTGATATGCGAATTAAGGTTGACATCATATCATATTCCAAGTTTAATTAAGATAGATTTTCAATATACGTGTTAACCGAGCTATAAAGCACTATAAAGCAATTATTTAGAAACTTAAATTGAATACATATAACTGTACAATCTAATTTATCTTCAATGTTAAACAGGATGCATGATCTTTAGAATCGTATTAAAGAAGTTTTTTTTAAACATCTACAGTAACTCAACGTACTGTTCGAAAGCAACGGCTGGCTACTTTCAATTTTCATCAAAACCCTTGGGATGAATTAAATAGAGTGTTGAAGTCCTATAAGAAAATGAATGACATCAAATTTGTTACATGTTGAGAACGTTTGGCATAAAGTGCTTCATGTGCAAGGCATCATACGTGACTGTAATTTGGAACGTTGTGTGACTGTAGGAAAATTTGTAAAATATGGCAGCACATTAAGTAAAGTTAAGAGGTTACTTTGTAAGTGTTAA